TCTCATGTCCGCTGACAGCAGAGCTCCTCCCCGGCCTCTTCCCCAACCCCAACGTTGTGGGATGCCTCGCCGCAGCCGTCCCTGTCGATGGCCGTTGGGCACACATGTCGGGGAGCCTCGGATCATCCTCGGCCGAGCCAAGGGCACCCACGAGCGAGGCCAGATGCTAGTAGTGCTCATGCATCGCCGCTCACCACCGGCTTCCACCCCAGCAGCCGAAATCAACCGGCCCAGGCCTCCTCTCCCCTATGTTGCAAATGTATGTTTCAGGTGTTTCAGAGGTAATTGTTTCATATGGATATTGCAAGAGTAAATTGGGGATCTTGCACATGTTGCATATGTTGCACGTGTTTCAGAGGCATGTTGCAAGGGTTTGTTCAGAATGTTTCATCTGTATGTTGTAAGTGTTTTGATCTAGATGTTGCAACAATATGTTTCAAATGTTTCGTCTGTTTCAGTCTTATGTTGTAACAAGTGTTTTCTTCTTGCATATTGTAAGTGTTTTATATGGATGCTGCATATGTTTCACGCATATGTTCCAAGTGTATGTTACAGATGTTTTATTTGTTTCAGACGTATGTTGCATTCAAGTGTTTTATGTTGTTCGGAGAGTCAGGGGGCGTGGGGAGTGATGGTGGCATGACACGGGTGCCGGGAAATGGGGCCCGGCGAGCCGGTGGCCAACGGACATGGCACGTGCCGCACTGGGGCTGGCGGTCGGTACACGACGGGGCAGGGCCAACGGCCAGGCGGATGGGGGTAGGTCGAATCAAGGCAAGCGGGTCGGACTGCACGTGCGAGGCGAGTTGTCTGGACGCGTGGGCGCAGCGACTAAGGCAGGGTGCGCAGGCTGCGCGAGCGTCCGGACGCTAGCCATGGCGATAAAATTACCTTCTAACTAATCGCATGTCTCGCAAACTGGGTTTTTGCATTCTACTAGCAGCGAGTTACTGTTAGGTTACATATGAGTCATTTCTGCTGATTTTGCTTCTGCAGTCGTTTCTATTTCTCAATCTACATTATACCTTTATGTCAGCAATTTACTGTTAGGTCATATTTGTGTCTTTTCAGTTGATTTTGCTTCTGTAATCGTTTCTATTTCTCATGACTAGGTTGTTGTCGTCATAATTTCTGATGAGGTACCACAGCTGGTGTGGTGCTGTCATAACAATCCCATTTCATATTACGGTAAGGTGCACCGTAACCACAGCGTTTTGTTAATTGCTAATTTCTTAGGATATTCATACGGATGACTCTGAATGAGTTGCTGGAGTTTGTAGTGCAAATGGTTTGGGACAATGCGCTGAACTGCCAAAATCATGCCTTGAGCTCAGTCACGCAGAGGCAATAGTTCTTCCTTAGAGATGCAACAAGAGTTTATTTCTTTCGGCCTGTATATGTAGCTTTTGGTTCACTGTAATTTGTGATATTCAGTCTGTTCGAGAGGCCATATCGTATCGTGGATTATTTACTGCTGGCTGGTTTGGTGTGAGAGAAAAACACTGTTCCCGACTGGAAATTTACGATCGTTTACGAGCAAGCGAACATGCTGATTGTGAGACCTGAGTGAGTGCTGTATGCCAATCGGATGGTTGGTTCTACGGTAGTAGATCTCAGATTTATTATTTGTGAATGGTTTGTCAATGCATGAATGATGATAATTATCTATGTAATAATCATAAAGAGAATTACCTGTGATACCACTTGATTAGAAAATTTCTCTACATTCCGGCCGGTGGGGCGCGCAAGAGTTTCTAGTTAGTATAAAAGGTAAGCTTGAAGGAACCATAGCTAATTATCAGTGCATATATAGTCATAGATGCATAAAGCCAAAATATGAGCTCCTGGACATAAAAATGAATGTTGTTGAGCCCTGTTCAAAGTCTTCGTGTAAACTATAACAATTAACTTGAAGCTATCTTAGTTTTCCTATCCCTGAAAGGTGGCATCAGATGTCTCTGTGCATAACTCCACTCCACCAACAATACATGAGACCAAGCTTTATTTGCATCGAGATTTTTATCCTCGAAGCACAGAAAAGGACACATTTTTGTGAACTCCACCAACAATGTTGTCTAGGGTAGGAGGCGGGATCACCTTCTCACCAGAGAGAGCGTCGGCAACGGCTTGCGGCCTCGCGCGTGGTCCCAGCGGGGTGGTGGAGCGGTGCAGGCGACGGAGCAGCAGGACACCGCCGATGACCACGAGCGCCATCAACACCGCGCCCCGCACCACCTCGCCTCCAAGTATAGGTGGCTTTTTAATATTTTTTAATCAATATTTTAATAATTACCGCTTTTAGAAAAGTTTTGCAAATGTGACCTTTGGTCACGTCAGTGTGGCTAGCGCGATAGTATCGCACTGTCACGCCACATGCATTGGTGTGATGTGAGCGCCACGATGACGTGGACCGGAGACTTCTTCCTACGAGTCATCACACAGTTAACCTTTCTCAAATTTCAAATTCAGTATGGACAATACATTGGTTCAGATATGAAGCTCTCAATATTGCATTACAAATATGTTTTCTGTCTATATGTGCATACCAAAAACTTGCCCTGTGTCGTACTTCCGTATGTTTCGGCTTGAGATCAAGTAACTAATGATTAGGGAGCAAGAGGGTTAAAGATCTTGAAGGTAGGCGAACATAAGCAGAGCTAACAAAGGCAGTTAGCTTCAATTCACCACAATAATATATCTGCACAATCCGTGAAGAAATATTTTCCATGGGTTTTACATATAATAAGAAGGATAAGCATTGCACAATATGAAGTCCGAGAATATTTTTTTTTTATTTTGAGGGATCGAGATTTTTGTTGATTGTAATGGGAATCGCGCGACCGGCGTTCTCGTAAATCATCGCTAGCAACAAACCCAAAGTGATCCTCAGGCCAAGCGTTGTCATAGCACTTGCCACTTGTCACAAACCGGCAATGATTAAATGCGACAACACCAGCCTGAAACACAAACTGCTCCTCGGGTGGTCTTATGAACCGGCGGTGTTGGTGCGAACTCCGGTTGTGTAAAGAACCGGATAAAGTGAAGTTGAAGAACCACCCCGGTTTATAAGGAAGCCGATGATAGCTTATCCTCATCCTGCAACGGTATGGTTGTGCAAGTTCAAAATCCGGCGGTGATAGGATATTTTGCCTGCTATTCTCGGCGTGGTGTGTGAGCGCCACGATGGCGTGGACTGGAGACTTCTTCCTGCAAGTCTTCACAAAGTTAACCTTTCTCAAATTTTAAGTTCAGTATGGACAATAAATTGGTTCAGATATGAAGCTCTCAATATTGCATTACAAATATGTTTTCTGTCTATATGTGCATACCAAAAACTTGCCCTGTGTCGTACTTCCGTATGTTTCGGCTTGAGATCAAGTAACTAATGATTAGGGAGCAAGAGGGTTAAAGATAATATTATTTTATTTTTGATAGCATACAAAGTAAGCATTCTTCACTGACTTAGCATGATACAGCGCCTAACATCTAAATTATGTAAACACGGCTGGAAAGTGGAAACATATCTTGAAGCAGAGGCGAATAAAGACAGTTAGCTTTCTGAATTCACCGGGGCACAATAATATATCGCCAGAAGAAAAATTTTCCATGGGTTTTACATATAATAAGAGGATCAGCGACCGGGTCATGTGATTGGGAATCGAGCGACCGCGGCCGCAATGCGCTCTCCCGCCTTCGCCTTGCTCCACCCGCCGATTGCCTGCGCCGACCAGGGCCATCCGCCCACCTCCCGCCCCGATCCCTCAACCCCGCCCTCCCTAACTCTCTGCCGCGGCGCCTCAGCTCCGGCGTCGTCCGCCCGCCCTCACCAGATGGCTCCCGCCCCACCCTCGAGAGAGGGCAGAGGACAAGCTCCGCCGCCACCCCACCCAACCGCCGTCTCTGCTGCCCCCCGCCATGTCGCTCGCCACCACCCATGGGTCATGCTGCCATCCCCAAACGCCCTTCTAAGCGAGAGAGGAGAGCATGGGAGGCGGGGTCACATTGGGGCTAGAGCACGATGGTCGCGTATTTGCTATACTAAAACCAACTTAGTCTTTCTACAAGCAAATTCAATCTTTAAATGCAACTTAAATAGACATATGCTGCTTTTTTCCTGCACGTACACCTTAAATTCCCGTGGCAACATGAGGGGACTAAAACTAGTATTAAGATAGTAGTAGGAATTTAAATAGGAGTACGTGCTCGTATAGTTGCTAAATTGTTTCAAGTCAATACTACTTTTCTAAACGAAAGCAAATGTGAAAGGTGTGAGCCAATCACATCGCTCCCTAGCATGTTGCTCGGGCCCACATGATCCGTAGTAGTCTGGCACTGTCCTCGTCGGCAGAATGGCAACGTGCCCGCCCCTTGTTGCTTGTGCTTGTACAGCCTGTGTGGGCTTGGACGTTCCATGACACTGTACTCTCTGTCTCGCTCTAGCCTCGCTCCTTCCCACAGCTACAACATTACATAACGGATCGGAGCGTGATGATCCATCGATGGAGCTGAGCTGAGCTCACCACCACCACACACGGGAGATAACTAGCTAGCAAGCCAGCAGCGACGACTTGGCAGCTAGCTAGCTAAGCCATGCTGCCGTCCTTCGTGTCGCCGACGGCGAGCGCGTCGGTGACGCCTCCGCCGCGACCGATACCAGGCAGCTACGGGCCGCCGGTGCTGGGCCCGCTGCGGGACCGCCTGGACTACTTCTGGTTCCAGAGCCAGGACGAGTTCTTCCGGAAGCGCGCGGCGGCGCACCGCAGCACCGTGTTCCGCACCAACATCCCGCCCACCTTCCCCTTCTTCGTCGGCATCGACCCGCGCGTGGTCGCCATCGTCGACGCCGCCGCCTTCACCGCGCTCTTCGACCCGGACCTCGTCGACAAGCGCGACATCCTCATCGGGCCCATAAACCGGGCACCGGCTTCACCGGCGGCACCCGCGTCGGCGTCTACCTCGACACCGAGGAGCCCGACCACGAGCGCATCAAGACCTTCGCCATGGACCTCCTCCACCGCAGCGCCCGCAGCTGGCCCGTCGATTTCCGCGCCGGCGTCGGCGCCATGCTCGACACCGTGGACGCCGAGTTCGCCGGCAAGGCCACCGACGACAAGCCCTCCGCCAGCTACCTCGTCCCGCTGCAGCAATGCATCTTCCGGTTCCTCTGCAAGGCGTTCGTCGGCGCCGACCCGTCCGCCGACTGGCTGGTGGACAACTTCGGCTTCACCATCCTCGACATCTGGCTGGCGTGGCAGATCCTGCCCACCCAGAAGGTCGGCCTCGTCCAGCCGCTGGAAGAGCTCCTCATCCACTCCTTCCCGCTGCCGTCCTTCCTCATCTGGCCGGGCTACTACCTGCTCTACCGCTTCGTCGAGAAGCACGGCGCCGAGGCCGTCGCCTACGCCGAGACGCAGCACGGCATCGGCAAGAAGGACGCCATCAACAACATCCTCTTCGTGCTCGGCTTCAACGCCTTCGGCGGCTTCTCCGTCTTCCTGCCCTTCCTCGTCGCCAAGGTCGGCGACGCCGCCGACGCCACGGGGCTGCGCCCGCGCCTGCGGAGGAGGAGGTGCGGCGCGCCATGGACAAAGACCCGACGCCGACCTCGGGTTCGCCGCCGTCCGGGAGTCCATGCCGCTGGTGCGGTCCACGGTGTACGAGATGCTCCGGATGCAGCCGCCCGTGCCGCTGCAGTTCGGCCGCGCGCGCAGGGACTTCGTGCTGCGCTCCCACGGCGGCACCGCGTACCAGGTGTCCAAGGGCGAGGTGCTGTGCGGGTACCAGCCGCTGGCGATGCGGGACCCCGAGGTGTTCGACCGGCCCGAGGAGTTCGTGCCAGAGCGGTTCCTCGGCGACGACGGCGCTAAGCTGCTGCAGCACCTCTTCTGGTCCAACGGACCAGAAACGGCGCAGCCGGCGCCCGGGAATAAACAGTGCGCCGCCAAGGAGGTGGTGGTGGACACGGCATGCATGCTGCTGGCCGAGATGTTCCGGCGGTACGACGACTTCGTGGTGGAGGGCACATCGTTCACCAAGCTCGTCAAGCGGGAGCCTTCTCCCAGCTTGTCGCCGGCAGCCGCCGCCGGAGCGCAACAGTGACATAGGAGGATCGGTGACCACGTCGTCGCCGTCTCGCCGATGCCGGCCGAGTAGTAACGTGTAGAGGCCCTCCTTGTCATACATACTCTGTGTTCGATGGATCGGTGTCTCACCCGGCTGTTGATAATAAAAGCACTTGTGCAATTGCAAAAGTGTGTGGATGGATACGCAGGCAGGACACACTTGTATAGTGAATTCATTAGTGATGCTATTGCTGCTGCAAACAAATTAAATGAACATCATCTCCTCCTCAAATGACTTGTTTCTAGTCTCCCTTGTATCTTACTTTGAACTTTTGGTTTACTTTTTCATGGCCTGTTGTCTAATTCATTTTGACCATTTATTTTCAACCAAAAATACAAAGGTTTTTTTTTATATAAAGGCTAAAAATACTCATAGGATTATTGAGAGTACTTCTCAAAACAAAACTATGCAAATATTTTTTGATCAGTTTTAGAAGTTTGATATATACTCCGATCCCTCCACCCCAAAAAGATTGTGCATCTCATTCATTTCGAGGAGTCAAACTAAGTTCAAGAAAAAAAATATACAAAAAATTAGTAATCTTTGTGATGTATAATAAGTATCATCTGAATATCTTTTTAATAAATACAAAGTTATATATCTAGTAAAAATTTAAAAAATTTGACTCATCCAAATGTGAGATATGCAAAAAAAATATCAAAAAACGGAGTGAGTAAAAGACATCACGTATCATGTATGACTAGAGAGAGTATCGTACTATCAAGTACAGTAGTATGACAGAAAATATCAAGTAAATATTTATCATCAGGTGGAGGATATTTACTTTTACGAATTTCCTCATGAAATGACGTGCATATACACAGTGCATTCATTTATTCATTTACTATCTAGAAAATGCAGAAAAGAAAATCTAAATTAGGAGAATGGGAAGGGAGGCGATCGAGATACTCGAGCGAGAGGACAGAAACCAAAGCAAGAAACACGAGGCGAGTAAGAACAAGAAGAGGAACAGTCCACAGGCAGCAGCTGATTGGATGACGTTTCGTCTCTTGCGATTGGCGCTGTGAACACGAGAGGGATGTCGAGGAACGCCTCATGCTTGCACGGACAGTGACTCCTGTTCAGACGCGCGCGGGAACCGTCCATCTCTACGCAAAATCCAGCTCCACTTTCGCAACAAGTAGCAGTTCGAAGCCAGAGTGGCCAAAACATGTAATGGACTCCATCACAAGGTTCTGAGCGTTAAGATAATCAAAACGACGTATGAATCATCGCATTTGGAGCCCGTATGAAGAAAAAGAGTTTTGCACTCAATCTAACAAAACCGACCTAACTTTAAGACTTATTATAAGAGTCTTATTAAGACCTCATTTTATTTGCTACGCTGGTTTTTCTGGACTCCGGACTGGTATGTCAAGATAATCAAAACCACGTTTGAATCATCGCATTTGGAGCCCGTACGAAGAAAAGGAGTTTTGCACTCAAACTGCCAAAAACCCGACCTAACTTTAAGATTTATAAGAGTCTTATTAAGACCTCCTTTTATTTACTAGGCTGGTTTTTTTCTAGACTCTGGACTGGTTAAGACTTAGGAGTCCAGAATGGTTTTGGGTCGTGTTTTGATGTGAGAAACTTACAAAACAGTTTTGGACACTTTTACTAGTGGGATATAAGACCATCCCATCTCTATATATCAGATGATAACGGTCGATTCGGAGATCTAACGTCCAATCGAACAAAAATACATCTATTACCTCTTTTACCCTAACTTTTCCAACCCCTGCAGTTTGGAGCTGTCTCCCGATGAGACTCGGTGACGTTCTAGGTGGCATTGCCGACCCTAAGACAACTTCGATCGATTCGGTGTGGCGTTCTAGATAACCTTGTTGGCCCTAAGACAACCTCAATTTGCATCATCCTGACGGATCTTCTCGGGAGGTGCTCTCAAGTTCTATCGATGAAGAATGAGCTTCAAATCAGTTCTACCAACAAACTGGTTGGTACTTGCTAATTTCGAAGTTGCTCGTTGTGTGCTTAGGTTATATGCGACCTCGGACATGCTAGCCCTTGTTGATGTATGATGCAAGATTTAATTTGGCGTCAACACTTTTTTTTGCGACTACACATGCAGGGGAACCCATGCATCTCTGCGCAAAATGTTTCTACATTTTTTTTTCAACAAGGAGTAGTTCGTAGCAAGGTTTTAAATCTCTGGCTATAGCTGAGTCAGGTCAAGCGATTTGTGTTCATTCATGTACAATTTAGCAACTATAGTTGGTTATAGCAACATTTAGCTCTCCTATTAGTATAGTTTTAGAGGTCATCGGTTAAATTTTAGTTTTTGAGGCCATATGCTAAATATTATAGCTGGAGATTTAAAATATTGGTTCGCAGTAGTACACTGATTTTGATCCGGGACTGTGGACTGCATGAAGTGAAGTGAAGTGTATAGAGAGGTGTCAGCTTATATAGCTAATCCATCCAAATTCCAACCTGATGAGCTTAGGCTAGCTCAGCGACACACTCGACTCCTCGACAGGGGCCATGTGTGAGAGGGGTCCATTTCAGCAGTGCCATGCCTTACAAATATCTTCTGAAAATGGCGACGAAATCAAAGATGCAAGGTCCAAATTCACTTTTGGTACAATGCTACAGTAGCTATCTACGTCTTGGCTCGCAGGCAACGCACATGCATGTGACTATATGACTACATGAACAGGGAATGGACAGCTCCTTCTCAAGTACTCATGCAAGAATTCAGAGGCAGCCAAAAAACCATGGAGAGGAGGAGAATAGATTATAGCACGTACTACAGTCTACAGGTAACTGGATTACTGGAGATGGGTGAAACTGAAGGAGAGCATACAGCAGGAATGAGCTAGCCAGTGCCATACTGCCATGCAGGTAACGACGAGAAATATCTCCCTCGCTCAAAGATCCAATCCTCATCTCAGAAAAAGGGTAAAGGAATATTCCAAGCCACTAAAACAAATGGAAATGGAGCAATGCAGGTATGTAATAAGAATAAAACCCAATTTTCAGTGGGTATAAAGGGGAGTGGGGGACGGAAGAACAGCGCCACTACAAGACTATACATTAATTCAGAATGTGACAGTGAAAATGATGTTATCGGATTTTTATTTTTAGCAGAAAAATCATTCTTCACCAGAAAGGATGATGGCACGCCGCACGTGGAAGGGCAAGACTTGGCACAGGCGCACAGCACGTTTTGCAGGAAAAATATATGTCAGTGAAACGTAACTAACTAGCAGCAAGCCTGGTGGGAACATCCTGAAAGGGAGGCAGATAACTGCGACCCGTCTTCCTCCTCTCCACGACCCCTCCTATCATCTTCCTCCTCACCAACGTCGTCCTCGCCTCCACCCCTGCCCGGCTTCCACCACCCGCAGCTAGCGGCTCCTGCTGCCTCGCCACGCCACCAACCTCCCCCCCCCGCCTCGACGACCGCCTCCCCTATCCTCCTCCGTCTTCTTTCTCGCCCCTCGCCGCCTCGGCCGACCCGCCTCCCCCTAACCTCCGCGTCCTCTTTCTCGCCATCGCCCCCCCCCGCCTCCACTAATCCCGGGACAGGTCGCCGACGGCCTCACACGACACACCCCGCCGTCTCGCCCGCCTCTCCACTGGCTGTGGACGCACCCCCACCACCACCAAAAAAACTCATTCTAAACCCCGAGGAAAGATCCCCTAAGCAGTACCGATGCCGAACCCAAGCCATCGTCTTCTTCTTCTTCGTCTCGGTGAGGCTTGGCGCAATGGGAGGCGAGGGTCATGCTTCGTCAGCGCTAGAAAGCACGACAGTCGCATGGTAGAAATTCCGATCCTGAAATGGCCATAAACTTCATCATTGCCAACCATGCTTCATATACTTTGTGCAAACACTACAACATTTTGGGGGAAGCTAATGGCTTAAGAACAAATATTCAAAACAGATATTTACAAGATGCACTGTCATCCACCTAAATGCAAATTTGTTGGATGGCTCGCCATCCAAAATAGGACGGCGGATAGGCTCCGTACGAGAGGTTGGCCCAACAATGTTGTTTGTCCCCTCTATCGTAGAGAGCAAGAAACTGTCCACCCACTTGCTCATTGCAAATACTCCATGCTTGTTCAATCTCTGAAAATGAGCAATCAAACAGATGCAGAACTTAGGCAGTTTGTGCGGCTCTGGACCAAACTACAACTAGTTCACTAGGCAACAGAGCCAGACACCACAAACTAACCCTAAACCCTCAACCGTGGGATCAGATTCATATATGGAACGATAATACTTGGCCACGAGTGTCCGTCCGTCCAGACCCGAGAAACAAAAAATCAAATCTCCCTACGGAAGCTCGTCTCCCCCACTCCACGCTTGTCCGTCATGGCTTCACGGCGCCGTGCGGCCATCCCAATCCGCCGTGTTGTCGCCTCCATCCCACGCCGCAACCCACTATGGCCCACCGCCGCCGCCATCCCCTGCGGAGAGGCGGAATCCTCCGCGCGAGGTACGCTACCAGCCGCCCCACCGACTGCAGCTGTTGCCGGACCCGGTCGCCGACACCTCGCTTTCCACCTCCAAGCTCCATGCGCGTGCTCGGCGACTATAGCGGCTCTTATATCCCCCACCGTGTCTTGTCGTGCTCTATCCTTCACCGCAACCAGAAAGAGGGGGAGGTTTCTGGCCAGGCCTAGGCCAGGCGCAGGCGCAATTGGCCGTTGCCAGGCCACGCCACCATCCTCGGCTCCCGGCTGGCCGGAACCGGTTGTCCCCTGCTCTGCACTGCATTGTACGGAAGAAGGGTGAAATCACATGTTGCAAGCCTATGTTCCAAGTGTTTCAGATGTTTCATAGATATGTTGCAAGTGTTTCATGTGGATGTTGCATATGTTGCAATGGATGTACACGTCTGTTGCAAGCTTCTATTCCCAAATGTTTCATCTGTTTTTTTAGACGTATGTTGCAAGTGTTTTTATTTGAATGTTGCATATGTTTCACACCTATGTTACAAGTG